CCACACCACCGCCACACCACCACCACCACCACCACCACCACCACCAGCACCACGACCAAAACTACCACCACCATCACCATGGCTGAGCTTGGAATTACAGAAGGTTGGAAACTAGTGACTTTTCTTCTGGGCCACTGGTGCCCGGCCTGGCCTTGTCAAGGGTCTTTGAGTCAGGTGACCTTAGCTTCCAAGGCCCCAGGGCCTCTGCCTCATAGGGAAGTATCACCAACAGTTCCAGAGTGGCAGTGGGGCACAGGGGACTGTCTCCTTGGCTGTGAGTGAGGGACCCCAGACCCTGGAGGTTAGATGCTCCAGGCAGGAGGAGGGCACAGGGTTGGGGAGGAGAGGAGCCTCGGACTGCCCAGCAGAAATTTGGTCCTGACTCAGGGAGGGCCAGGCAGGCCTGATGCCGCCACCAACCCTGGGGTCATTTCCTTCTCCAAATAGTAAAGAAACTGCACGTCATGGTGCTTTCTGCTGCCCTCAGGCAAGAAGTGAGTTGGAAATGGAAGAGTAAAACAGAAATGAAATCAGGAAATGGTAAAGGGTTCTTGAGTTCAAGGTGGGGCAGAGAACAGAGTGCTGAGCTGGGTGTGGAGCCCCTGCTGTGTTGGGGGCTGCTCTAGACAGCAGGGCTGCAGCATGAGACAGCCAAGTATACACGTGGCGGGGGACCAGCAGGAAGGCAAGAGCAACGGAACGACATGGGGGTGGGGGAACACAATTCCGAGTGAGGGGGCAGCTGGCTGAGACCGGGAAGGCCCCTCAGAGAGGTGTTTTTGGTTTTGTTTTGCTTTGCTTCTTTCCTAGGGCTGGGGATAGTGCCCGGGGCCTGGTCATACTAGGCAAGCGCTCCATCACTGAGTGACATCTCCAGCCCCGCTCAGCTTGGAGATATTGAAATCAGTATCCAAGTGTCAGGTCTAAAAATAATAGGGGGTGCTGGGGAGATAGCTCAGTAGGATAAGAGCTTGCCTGGCAAGCACAAGGGCCTGAGTTCAATCCCTGGTTCCGAAAAAAAATTATATATATATATATATATATATATATATGGAAGGGACTTTCAGGCAGAAGTACCAGAAGGTCCAAAGGCCCTAGAGTGGAAAAGTGATCACTCTATCTAAGAAATCCAAAGAAGTCCCCTTGGTGAGATAGCAATGAGCCACAGGAGCTGGGCACAGGAAGTAGTTGGCAGGTCTGAGTGCCAGGTTAAACGAGGCTCCCAGACACCATCCATCCCTAATCCCCGAGATGTGGGGTGTCCTCTTACAGGACAGAAGGGACTTTGGGCGCATGCGATGGGGAGAGATCATGGGCCCTGTGAGTAGTCACCACTGGAAGCCCGCCGTCCACACACAGTGGAGCCAGAGTCAGACTCAGGATGAAGATACAACGACAAGGGCTGGAGCACAATACAGTCAGCAAGGAAGGCAGGTGGTGGCTTACTGGAGCTGGAGGAAGTAAAGACAGGATTGTCCCTAGGTGTCCAAAGGGACTGCAGCCCTTATTGGAACCCACTGAGGCTCATTTCAGATTTTTGAATTTCAGCCCTGTAAGAGAATAAATACACAATGGGGATCTAAGGCCCCGCCCTGCGCAGGCTGTCACCTCAGCTATGTGATGGGGAGTTCTTCAGCTCCCCATCCTTTGCTGGGGAGCAAATGATGCGAGTGCTAGTCTCCTGGCCAGACCCCTCCTTCCCTTGCTCCACTCTAGGTCACAGGGGATGCCCTGGCCCCCTGGCCCTGATCTTGACCTTGGCCTCTGGCTGTGTTTGGCCTTTGGTGAGCATTCAGAGGACAGAGGAGAGAAGCAGGGGTGTTTCCTCAGGCTCCTCCATGACCTGACCTTTTCTTTCTATGGTGGGCACACCTCTCCCTGATGCCGGCTTCTGATGGGCAGCCCTTCCCTGTCTTGCTCCTGCTCTTTCTCCCTTTGACCTGGGGCAGTGGCTTTTGCCCTGGGTCACTGGCCTGGGGTGCCTCTGTAGCCTGCCCCCCAGCTTGGTCTGCTGCAGCAGCTCCTCCTAAGTAGCGCCTTTGGTCCCGTTATCCCACCAGGACTGCAGGGACATAGCTTCCTCTGTACGGTGGCCTGTTTGGAAGAGTGAACTTGTCCCCAGCCTTAACAACAGCCACGAGCCAAATGAATGAACAGCAACACTGGACTTTGTGGAAGCAGAGTCCTCTGGTCACAGGCTATAACTGTGTGCCTGAGGGAGACATTAACCCCTCTGTGGGCTTGGGGGGGGGTGCCCCACATATGAGGTGCTCTGGGGAAATCTGGGATAGCTCTTTGGGTTCTGTTCCATGACCAGCAGAAACCCTGCACCAACGGCTGGAAGAGCCCCAGGACATGTGGGTGCCCTGCAGGCTGAACCCTCCGAAGGGATGGGCCGGTTTGTGGAGGAGGTCATTCATATCAATGTGTCCCTTGTTATGGGACAGGGGAGTCTGCGTGCCTAGCTCTCTTATCAGCCACTGTCAGTGAGGAGACAGGAGCCTGGAGATGGGCCTGTGGGCATCTGGGGTCAGCCCCAGGCTTGTCTCATTCTCCTTCCTGGGGGGGGGCTGTGGCCACTGAGGCAGCCCTTTTTTCTTGGAGGGTGCTGACTTGCCCTCGCTCCTTTCCTGAGGTGCTATATCTCATCCCAGCTCCTGGAAGTGACTGTCAGCTGTAGCATTTTGCAGGTGAGGAAACGACAGCTCAGATGGGTAGAAAGAGTCACCTTGGGTGGTGTGAAGCAGCCAGCATTTGAGTTTTCATTTAAAATAATGCTTACTGCTCCCCCCTGACCCCGTATCTGAAGTGTCCTCACATTCAAGAATAATACACCGTTCCCAATGCCTGGCTTTCAGACATACACCTCATTTAATAGTCTCACCATGCCCATCATTCCATGGATGTAGCAATGGTCATTCCCATTTTAGAGATAAGAAAACTGAGGCTCAGAGACAGCTAACAGAGGGTCCTCCAAATGTCCATTCCTAATCCCTGAAACCTGGAATGTTCCCTTACATAGCCAAAATCTAAGTGGTAGTCTTAGACCTGCATCTAGATCTGTCTTTTTCTATACTCTGGGGTCTTTCCACCCAATCTCAGAGCAACCTGGGAGGGATCTTTCCACCTGAAAAGCCACATTTGTTTGTGTCTTTTGTCTTCTGTG